ACGGAAATTTTTAAAGAAAGTAATACTTTTATCCGAAGTCCTAGTTTATAACAAAATTTGAGAGTTGGGCAAGTACTACTTGCGGTGCGCCTTGCGTTTAGAGCTCGACTCTGTGTCGGACTGCTTCACCCCATGAGGCGTCTATCAAACGCAGCTTGTTGTTCTCTTAATTCTGCGAAGGCCGCGTTTGCTTGTGCTTGAAACGCTTCGGCGCGAATGTGGATGTCGTTCTGCATCAACTCTAGGCGGTTGATATCGGCCGTGTGAATTTGCACATCCACATTGATCTCTCGGATTCGGTTGGCTTGCACTCCAGATTGATAGCACTGGTTGGCGAGTTTGCCAACCATGACCGGAAGTGCGCGATCGGCTGATCCCCGCCTCTCACATCATAGAAGTCTCGGCACATGCCGTAAGGAGGGCGTAAGCTTTGTTGTTGGCTCCAATGATGGAGGTGACTTCCCCACACTGGAGTGGGTCCTTGGAAATTCCTCACGTGGACGGGAGGTTGTAGGACTGGTGGATTTATAATTTCTGGCTCCGAATCCGTGCCAGAGTCATCCCCTGCCTCCAAATCTATAGGCTCTTCGTCTTCTTCAGAATCTGCTTCGATCCACCCACCATTACCTTGGTTGGGGTAGTAGGGGTCATTGGGGTGATGGAATCCCGCCATTTAGACTGTACGAGAATAGGGTTAAAAGTTTACTATAAGTTAGAGCACATGAAACTTACTCTCGAGTTTAATGGTTGACGGCACTCGAATACACCCTCAATATTCTTTATGCTTTTGGAAATTTTAAAATTTGTTGTCCATTACAGACACTCCTTGGCATATGTTTAGTCGGCTCTTGGACAAATATAGTTGATCAGGCTATATCCTTCCCAGTTCCGATTACATGTCCCAAGGCATACCTGCACTGCACAACCGATATATAATACTTCAATGTTGTTTTAACTATGGTAATGACCATGTTGTTGATATGAAATGAATGCATGCCTACTTTACAAAAACTAAATAAAAATTAAAATTTTTAAAAGTATGACTCTTACTCAGAGTGTTTTTACCCAGTTGAGTTTATAGTTGTATACCAAAAAGAAATGGTTTTGATATACTTAATTCCCTATAAACAATGCTCTGATACCAATCTGTCACACCCCCAAACCAGAACGGCGGAAACGTTCGGGGGCGGAGGACGTCATGTTCAATATCATAACAGTTCATAGAAAGGAAAGTACACACCACCATATATAATAAGTTTGCAAGATGTTTACATAGTTGTATTCATTACATGTTCAAAATAAAGGTACATAAACATCATTCAAAATGAAGTAATTAACGCCAGCGCGTTAATCCCAAAAGTTGATTCCCAACCTGCTTAGCGATTTCCTGAGAATACAAGTTATTTCAAAGAAAAAGTGTCAACAATTAAGTTGGTGAGTCCATAAGTAGTTTAGAAAAATTGGATGCCATTCCAAAATGGGTGTATGTTTTCCAGTAAACGTAGCGTTTCAAAATGTAAAGAGTTGTGATTTGTGGTGTTGGAAATGAATGCATTAGCTCCAGAAAATCCCATATTTTCCTTAATAGTTGAAATACGATTTGTTGTGTTTTCCAAGAAAAACCCTTATTTTCTTATAAAAGTATGAGATGTATATAGTTGTTCATGTTATAAGTTGTAAATGATTGCACCGGGAAAATCCCTTATTTTCCTATTAGTTGTTTGGTTTGTATGCAGGAAAAACTCTTATTTTCCTCACACATAATGCCAGTCTCTAAGACCGAAAATTTGCAAGAAACCGACGTTTCTCGTAAGTGTGTCATAGTTTATATATAATAAAACTACGCGAAGACCGAACCGGTTGGATGAAGAATAGTTTTAATAACTACTCGCTCATCAAAACTGAATATCATAATAATTGTATATCCGATGAGTTTCTATAACCATACTAAACATAATATGCCTGTAACGACGTTCTTCAGGCGTCGCAGTGCTATGACAACTGTCACCCCAAAAGACGGACTGTAGCTAACAGTCAGGGTGCGGGATCATGACTTCCCGTATAGATCTATACACATTTGACAACGTTCTCGTCGCGGGAGATTCTGGTTATAGACAGGACTTACTGCAGTACTTTCTAATAAAGAAAAGTAACGTTTGAAGATGTACGCGGTCTCATGGATTCTCAATTAAGTCTATATTAAAGTGATAGTTTTGTATGCAAAGTTTATCCTTTTTCAAAATGTTTGATAAAGCAAAATCATAAGTTTTTAGAATGTATAAAACGATTTAACAATGAAAGATCATTATATGCTTCGTATAAGTCTAATGCACACAAAGTATGACAAGAGTTTTCCATAATAGTAATGAGTTCCAAGTGGTTTATTTGATAATATAAGTGAAGTGAAACTTTATAAAATACACGATAATAACCGTATGTTTACTTGTATTCCCCCCCTAAAAGAGTGTAAAAGTATTTAAAAATGTATTTAAAGTGTGTTAGAAAGGGGTATGAACTCACTTGACAACTTGAAGATAGCGAGATGGAAAAACGGCAGAGTTTCGTCTCGGGAAATGGATTTTCCTCGGAAATCTCGGGATTCCTCGGGAGAAAATCGACCTTCGGATCTTGTACGAAGCGACCAGGGCTTCGGGGTAGTACGAGCACGGAAAACGAGGAAAAACGCAGAGAAATGAGAGAGAATGAGCCCTTTCTTTGGAAACCTTCGTATGCTATTTATAGAGAGGCTGGTCTGCCTCAGTACGCGGGGCGTACGCTAGTACGCAGCGCGTACGCGTACGTCACGCATGACCGAGGCCTCGACTGCCTCGGCTTCGGATGGGACGGATCCCTGGGTTCGCGGGTCGGATGGGACGGGTCGCTGGCACGCGGGTCGGATGGGACAGCGGGTCGGGTTCTCCGGATCGTGCGACGTGGACGATCCGAGGCCGTGGCCTCTCAGTACGCGGGGCGTACTAGGGTACGCGGCGCGTACTATAGCCCTAGGCTGACTCCTCTTCGGATAATACCGAATTTTGAATAAAAATTATATATAAATTAATTATCAAACTTCAAAAATTCATATCTCCCTCATACGAACTCCGTTTTTGGCGTTCTTTATATCCCCGCGAAGGTGAGACTACGATCTACAACTTTCATTTAGATTCCGTTGGCAAATTCCGAAATTATTTTTATTATTTATTTATTAAAAGTGACGTGTTTAAGGAATTTCTTTAAAAATTCATAACTTATTCATATGATGTCCGATTTGAGAGTTCTTTTTATGCATGTTTGTAGTTTAACGATATCTATCACTTTCATTTAGACACCTAAGGTCAGAAAATGTTTTATTGAAACTTTGCGTTTTTACGTAACTTTGTATTGCTGGTTTTTTGTCGGAAAACTTATAATGAGCATAACTTCTTCGTTATAACTCGGATTTTTGTGTTATTTATATGTTTGGAAACCTTAAGATGATAACTACCACATAGTGTACTCCAAATAGAGTTTTTGAATACTTCATATTCTATTTCCTTTCTCAAGGAGGTTACATGACTCGATCTTTACTGACATGAAATAACGGGTTGTTACAGTCTATAATTGATATTCCCCTTTTCTCCCCCTTTTGTGTCTTCCTTTTCCCCCTTTTTTGTCTATCTTCCCCATTCTCGCATCTCCTTACAAGAACAAAAAAAAAAAAAAAAAAAAACCACGCTACAGCATCGCAACTCCTTCTCTCTCTCTCTCTGGTGGTCGACGCCCCTTCCTCCTGCACTTTTCCCGTCACCGCCGGTGCTTCTTCCTGCTGCGTTTTCCCGTCACCGATAGTGACAGGAGTTGCAGGCTCCAACAGTCAGGGTGCTATTAGTCAGCAAACCGGTATGGCTGATCCTTTAGCAGACTTGGCCGGGATTCTTCGCCGTCGGGCTCGAGAGACGGGTCAGATGCCCTAGGTCCCACATACGGATTATAGGCCTCAGCTCCCACCACAGACGGATTACAGACCTTAGTCCCCACAAATGTTTTTTAGGACAGGTGGTAATGATGGGTTTGAGGACTATTGTTTTGAGGGTGCAGATGCAGAGGCAACCTTTCGGTCACCACATACCCCACACACACTGATGGCACCGAACACGCCATTGACGTCGCATGGCTCCGCCTCTAGAGGCATTTCAGGAGGTCACGACTCGAATGCGAGTGATTTTCACGCCTCATCGTTGCCCCTCATCAGACGACATGGGGAAAAGTTAGTGTTTTCATCATTTAAAACTTAATTTCTTGGTGTTATAATTATACTTATATAGTTTTTTCAATATTGTAGGTTTGGGGATCAAAAAATCCACAGCGCGTGTATTCATCTCTTTTGGGAGAATTTAGATCATCCGTGGGCCCAGTTCAGTGATATTCCAAATGAGGCTCTTCTACAGATGTTTTCGCGTTTCGGGGTAATATATTAAATACTTGTTATTGTATCTTATACTCATTTGTTTTTAGTTTGTATTTTTAAATTTACTTGTTATCTTTTACAGACAATGTACAGGTGGTATTCACAAGAGAATGAGAACATATTTGATGCATTCAAGTGTGTCCTCAAGGATAGATACAGAGATAGGATGAAAGGTATCAGGAAACAATCTGCCGACATGGCACGAAATGATGGGAAACCCCTCCCCCCAAAGTTTTGTAGCTACTATGATGGGATGCATAACTACCGCCCCGAACGCGTACCGGAGACTGTGTGGCAACGTTTGTGTGATGTAACGGATATGATACATTATTATTTTTTTGTTAAGTTTTTTATTTCTTATTATATTATTGTATATATATATATATATATATATATATATATATATATATATATATATATATATATATATATATATATATATATTCTTTTCACAGCATTGGTCCACAGAGAAGTGGCAAAAGAATTCAAAAATCGCTCAGCAGAACCGCAACACCGCAGATTCTAGTGGGTCAACAGCAAGACACACTGCGGGTAGTATAGGATTTGACCAGCACCGTAGGAAATTAGTAAGTATCACAATAATAAATTTTATTATTCTTATTTTGTTATAACACTAACTACATTAATTGTACGTTGACTTTTATGTAGGAAAATTGATGGGTAAACCACCCACACAATATGATGTTTTCGTGCAGACGCATGGCACCGCCGAGTCAAAGAAAAAATATTTTGAGGGAAATCATGAAAATATTGAATATTGCTCGCAGACGGCCAAAGAAGCACTAGTAACTTATCTTTATCATTTATGTATATTGATTGTCTCATTTTTGTATATAACAATCATGTTTTTTGTAATTTGTAGGAGGGGTATCTGCATGGGTTGGTCAACAAATTTGGTGAAGATCCTTCAAATCGTAAGGATGATGTAGATGTATGGGAGGAAAGCCAACTTAGAAGAAAAGGAAAGAAGAAGGGTGCTATCTATGGGATAGGAGCATCGGATATACATTTTTTGGTTTTAGGGACTCCATCTTCCCAATCCACCCAGTCCACCCAGTCGGATAGCACACAACAAGAGGTATGTTGATAATACTAATTAAATTGATAATAAACAAAAATATGTTGCTAATATGGTTAAAAGCTAGGTAGTTTGGTGAGAATATTGATTAAATTGATAATAAACAAAAGTATGTTGCTATTATGGTTAAAGGTTATGTAGTTTGTTGATAATATTGATTAAATTGATAAAAGTAAATATATGTTGCTATTATGGTTTAAAAGTTAAGTGTATTGCTATAATTATAAACTAAAATGCATTGTTACAATAAACTAAAATAAATTGCTATTATTGTTTAAGTATTGAATTGTGTCACCATTTTTTAGGTTGATAGGTTGCGTGCACAAGTTTCTGTCATGGAACAACAACAACAACAAATGAAAGAACAAATGGAGATGGTTATGAGGATGATAAATATGTCTGGAAATCAACCCCATGGTCCCCCCGATAATCCACCCGAGGACAATTGATAAGTATTTTGGAACAATTGATAAGTATTTTGGAACAATTGAATTTGAAACACTTGTATTGTTTGCTTGTTTTGTTATGCCTAATTTGTATGGTACTTGAGACATTTGTATGGTATTTAAGACAATGGAATTGAATGTGTCAAAGTTGGTATTAGGGACATTTTTTGGTGTATTTTGGACAAATTGAATTGATATGGTATTTGACAAAAAATGGAAATTTTTAAATTTTTAAAATTTATTTTTATTGATAAAATGAAATTAGCTACGGACTAGCTACGGAAATCCGTCGCTAAATAGGTCCGTAGGTATTCCGTATGAAGAAAGTCAATTTTAGTCAAACTTGAGTTCTGTCGTTAATCCGTAGGAAATCCGTAGCTAAACAGTTCCGTAGCTATTCTGTAGGAAAACACTTGCGTAGGTAATCCGTAGCCATGCTATTCCGTAGCTATTCCGTAGGAACATACACCCGTTGGCAATCCGTAGGTATTCCGTAGCAATTACCGGCCGTAGCTATTCTGTAGGTATTATACCTACGGAAATATCCGTAGGTATTCAGTAGCTAGTCCGTAGCAATTCCGTAGGTAAAAATTTCCCACGGGCATTTATGATACAGGATATTTTCCGTAGCAAATCCGTAGGTATCGCTTTATACCTACCGAATAGCTACGGATTGTGCCGTAACTATTACCCTAGTTTTCTAGTAGTGTATTATTATTATTTTATTGAAGAACAAGTTATTATCTTTTATTGGTTTAATGAATCAGTTAGTTTTATTTGTTTGAATAGTAATATAGTTTATGTAAGATGTTCAAATATATAATCATTTCATTATGTACGTAAAATCCTTTATAGTATCACACAAATTATAACAATGTATATTTAAAATGTTACATATTATTTAAAACATTACATTTACGTATTATCATTTTTATAGTTTCTTGCCACCATATAAATTAACTCAAATATTTTTAAAAACTTATTTTTATTATCATATAAGCTAATAAATATTTTTATCAAAAAAGAAAAAAAAAAACTTATTTGATTATAGAACATTTGTAATTATTTTATACAAACTTTGACCTGATTTTTTTTTCACAGTTTTCTTTGTAATGAGCGATTCACGCTACAAATTTGGATATCGGTAATTCATTATTTTTTACCTCTAAAATATATTATTTTGTGTCAAATATAAAAAGAATCTAACTTTGAATTTCATAGCTTTTGCATAATTGATGTTTTTTTTTATTATCTTCTTTGTAATACGGGTTATCCATACACATATCATATTTGGAATTTGGATATCAGGAAGTCATAATTTGTAAGCTCTAAAGTAGGATCATTGGAGTTTTATGAAAATTTTATAAAGATAACTAATTTTCATATGAATATCACGTATTGTTGTTATAATTTAAATATAAGTTTAAATTAAGCTATAACATGTTGCCTTGGTATATAAGTGGACATTAAATTCGATACTATACAAAAGTAGACCATTATAAGTGTTTTTTTGGAATATTAAAGCATCAAGATCACTACAAAGATCACTACAAGAAGATTGAGCAACAGCGGCGATACTTGTCGCCGCTGATACCTTTAGCGGCGACATGTCGCTGCAAATGCGTCGCCGGTATTGTTTCGTCGCTAATATGCTTAATGTCGCCGCTAATGCTCATAATCGCCGCTAATACAACGCGTTGTTGCTAATACTACCCGTCGCCGCTAATAGGTTGTTGCCGCTAATAACTTAGTGTCGCCACAAAAGCTGTCGCCGTTAATACTCTTTTGATTTTTTTTTTTTTAATATTAAATTTATAATCAATCCAACTATTAATCCATATAACATTTGAAAAATCTGATAAGTTTTTATAGAAATATTAGTACATATTATACAATCAATCCAAAATATTAATCCATACCACATTAAGTATTCTTCCAAATTACAAAACGTTTCATAAAATCCTAAAATAACTACTCGCGTTCATCATCATCTCCTTCATTATTTGGTGGCGGCAATGAGCGAAACCACTCTTTCAATGCTGCAGAACAGGTCGGGTCCTGTAGTATTGTTTGGAGCATTTGCAACTATAAATAAAACAAAATATATTAACAACATATCAGAATAACATTATAATTTCATACAAATATATACATCTAAATTTCATTTTCAGGCAATGTGGTATTAACATAAATTTCAATCCAACAAATGTATATATTCATGTCAAATTATTATTATTATTGTTATTATTATTATTATTATTATTATTATTATTATTATTATACATTATTGTAATCTAAACATAAATTTCAAAATATACACAAAATGCATAATTAAATTCCCACAAATCTGAAAAAACACACAAATCAACAAAATAATCCAACAAAATGCATAACCACTTCATATCTCAAAATACAAATATAATCACTCAATAAAATTGAAAAATACTCACAATTTATCATCTAAATTAACACCAAAACAGAAAAATCATAAAAAAGATGAGAAATTCGACCTTGGTTGGGGCAATTTCGGAATTTGGCTAAATGCCTTCGGTTTATGGCTGTTTTAGGGGAAGGAGGGGCTAGCACCGGTCCAAGAAGCAATTCCTAGTCCACCAAGTTGGAAAAAATTCGTGATATTGAAGAAAGAAAGAGAGAAAAACGAGAGGAAGGTGGAAGGTAAGGAAAAAAATGATAGAAAGGTAATCTGTGAAGGGGATATCTGCATTTCGCATTAGCGTCGACGCTAGGGCAATAGCGGCGACACTAGGGCATTAGCGGCGACAAGCGGAGGGAAAAGTCAGCGCGCCTTTCCGCTTTCCTCAACAGCCGTTAGATCGAAAACAAATCGGACGGATAAGGTGAAAATAACGCAGATCGCTAAATCAAAGCATTAGCGGCGACACCTAGCAATAGCGGCGACATGTAACGCGCCATTTACATGTCGCCGCTATTGTTAGGTGTCGCCGCTAATGCTTTGTTTTTTTGTAGTGGATCACAAAAAGAATACAAAACATTATAGATAGTACTACACGTATATAACAACCTATAATCTAAAAGCATATAATATGAAAACTTGATTTAAAAAAAAAAAAAATAATAAATAAATAAATAAAAATCCAAACAAATTAACACTTGTACCGGTTAATTAAGGCTGAATGCAGCAGGAAGGAGGGACCCATTTCCATACTTTGAACCCCCCAAAAGCCGGAATTCACTAATTTCTCATTATGAAGTCGGCCGCTTCCCATATAAACAATTTTCTTTATGTTTCAAAAGCAAGGACCCTAGCTTCATACTTACAAATCCTTCTTTCATTTGTGGGGGCTAAACTAATAAAATACTATACAACTTATTATTATACTACTATATAATCATTCTCGTTTCTTTGTAGGGCATATTTTCATATGTGACAATACACATCTCTATTTATTTTGTAGGCCATGTTTGTGAATATTTATTTTTCCGTTTATCGGTCGCTTTCTATAACATCCCATTATAAAGCCGGGATCCACGAGAGGTATAGAAATAAAGGAATGGAGCGGGAGCCTTACAAGTTGGAAATATCTATTCGAAAACCCAATGATCGAGCTACACTTCAGGCATAGCATACATACCACTTCAACTTCCTATTTGTTCTTCACAACTCTTGAAGGTAAAACAGTTAAACTGCTTAAATACTAAGCTCGTCTATTCTTTTTTGACCTCGCTCACATCTCATCTCTTTCTGCATGACAAGTTGCAGCCTTCGTCAATTGATGATATCAAGTAAGTGTATATAAATAGCACGTCGCTGGGATCTACTCAATAGTACTTATTCAAAATATAAACATGAAACTTGTTAAGTTTACCCATAATATAATATATAGTAATATAGTGATGCTACCCATCTTTTAGCAATAATACTAATATACAACGTGAAACTTGTTAAGATTTTACTTGTTTAATTAATGAAGTTATATATTGCTATTATTGCTGATAAAATGTAAATATGTTGGTATTATCGCCCGAAGAGGTGTTTTATTTTTAATTTTCATAAACAATATGTAGTGGCCACAAGTTTAAAGTGCATGGCAAATAGGCTTGAAAACATAAAGGAGGAAGGCGTCGAGAATTGGCTACCGGCGGCATGTCCACTGCCCCACACTCCAACCGAATCCATGGAGTTTCTAGGGAGGTCATGGAGTGTTTCATCTGTGGAAGTCTCGAAAGCTCTTTCCCACACTTTTGTTGAAAACCCTAATTTATTTTGCAATGTTGATCAAGGTAATCAAGAGAGCTCATCTACAATGTCAGAAGAACATGTAAGATCCCTTTTTGCTTCTATCTTTCAGTAATCATGGGATTTATCATCATCTCATAGAGACTTATAGGATGTAGTTCATATTTTGTTTTCCAACAAAACCTCAAATGAATAAGTGAATATACATTCTATCTCAAAATTCTGTTAAATATTAATTAGGGAAAATGACTTACAACCCCAACTAAGTTTTCAAATTGTTCATAAAATCTCAATAATGTTTTGCCTGTTCAAGAAAACTCAACGAACTTAACATTTATCTAGAAAAACCCAACGAAGTTTCCAACCGTTCAAAAAATCCCAATCATCTTTTGTCTGTTCAAAATGTTAAATTTATTGGTTTTTTTTTAACAGACAAAACATGATTGATGTTTTTTGAACGGTTTTAAAACTTTGTTGGTCATAAAGGTCATTTTCCTAATATGGTGATTTCCATAGAATTGAATAAAAATATAACATAGTTGAGTTTTTAAGATAAATGTTAAATTTGTTGGGTTTTTCTGAACAGAGAAAACATGATTGGGGTTTTTGAACAATTTGAAAACTTCATCGTAAGTCATTTTCCCTATTAATTAAACTTGTATATTTTCATTTTATTGCAGCAACCTCAACCATTAGCAAAACCAGATAGCCCTCCAGTTTCTCCGAGAAAAAGTGATGAAATGAAGGTGAGTGTTATATATGCATGTATATTAGCTAGCTATCTTTTGGTTGCTTTTGGTCTACAATGAAAGGATGTATATAGAATTCGTTAACATCAAATACTTTATAGAACTAGGCATCGAGTAACATAGTATCAAAGGTTGTTTTTAAAATTTTCAGCATAATGTTTGACTTTTGGGTATTAATCAGCGAGAGTACTTTAATTTTATGGCCATAAGACTGAGCCAAAAGCACAAAAAATCGGAGAAACAGTAACTGATCGAACACCGAGATATTTACAAAAACAAAAACGATGGTTTGGTTCTTCGCTTTTAATAAAACAAAAATTTTAGGCTAGGTTTGGTTTTTGTTTTGAAACAGAAAGTACAAACCAAACCATATCTTATGTTGTTTTTATGACATACTAATTATTTTTTATTTGATTAACTAATAAGGTATTTCTTGTTTCCATTCCATTAGTTGTGTAGTTAGATATAAATTTTTGGGATGCTTTTTGCGATTATTACATTATGCAAAATTCAATGAAATATCTTTGTAATGCTTTCATGGACTATGGCTTCAACAAGCCCATATATTGATCAATTGCTATTTTTATTGATCTATACAACTCAAACACTCAAAAACCAAAAAATGGAAACACCCAAATCCATCCGCTCAAACCTAAGAACTAAAACCTGAAACTGGAAAAACCGAACAAAAACGGGGTTTGGGCATTAGCAAGAAACCATGCTCACCCATCGTCTAATCCGCTGCAGGAATTGTTTCTGATTCATCAAGCTCTCAACCAAGATTTTCTTTCTAATCATCAATTACTCAAAAATGGGGTATGTATATAATCTAGGCTACCTTGACCACCTGCATATTTAGTATTATAATAATGGGCTTAATGCAAGAAATCAAAAGAAAAAAAATACTTTCATTGTTTTGTATATTATGGCCTCTTACTTTCATGTTTTCTTTTATAGCGTTGTGATTTGAAAAATCTACCCAATTGTAGCGATGTCCTAATAAAAATAAAAATCAAATTTGGATGACATTGCTACAATTGGGTAGATTTTTCAAAGTGTGATATCCTAATAAAAATAAAACTCAAAATAAAATGCTATATTCGGACAGATACCTCAAAGCAGAATGTAATAAGAAGAAAAAAAAAATTGAAAGGGAGAATGTTTTAACTATAAGAAATTAAAGTAGGATGCTATAATGCACAAATAAATGATAGTACGTCACTATTTTTGGCATGTAGCCTTGTAACAATTTACTAGGGATAAATGCAAGGAATAACATTTTGCTTTTTATTTCTCTGTTTATAATAGCATATTTTTTTCATTTCTATGCAAATTGTTTATCAAAAAGTCTACCAATTACAGCATTCTCTTTAAACAAAAAATTATAAGGACACTTTACTTGGAAAAAGTTATCCAATTATAGCAGTCAAATCACTTTATATTTTGATGACATTGATATGATTAAGTAGATTAATTCGAAGTACAACGCTATAAGAGAGAAAATATGAAATAAATTAAGATTCAATAGTAAATAAATAACTGAAAGTAAGTTGCTAGTTCTTCCAATTAACCCATCATTATTATTCCATCTACAGCTATACAGAAACATTATGAGAGGAAGGACAATGGGTAGATGGATAAAGGATCAGAAAGAGAGGAGGAAGCATGAGATAAGAACACACAATGCTCAGCTGCATGCAGCAGTTTCAGTGGCTGGAGTTGCTGCAGCAGTGGCTGCTCTTACTGCTTCATCAGCAACATTAAGCAAAAATTCAGGTAATAAGGAGCGCTCAAAAACATCAAATGCAATAGCAGCAGCAGCAGCTCTAGTGGCATCACATTGCATAGAGATTGCAGAGGACATGGGAGCTGAGCATGAACAGATTTTATCAGCTGTAAATTCTGCTACTATTGCCAGGAGTAATGGTGATATAATGACTCTCACTGCTGGAGCAGCCACTGGTAATAATTGGTTTTTAAGTCTCTTTTCTTTTGCTAAAGAGGACAAACATGCATACACTAGAACTGGAACTAGAACTGATGTTAATGGGACAAAAATTGCTATTTTTGTCCTGACCAAAAAGGTGGACTTTCTTGTTTGTGAAAAGACGTGAATGTTCTTCTCATCCTGTCTGGTCATGCCCTGTGTGTGACAAACACGACGAAAATGTCAATCTTTTAGCTAGACAATAATTAAATGCATCTATTAATTATGAAAATAGAGGAAACGAAAGATGCCATTTATGTGAAAGAGGTTTTACTACTAGGGCTAGATGAAATGCATCATAACCACGGGCATGCCAAAAAATATGTGTACTCAAAAATAATATATTTTGACACTTCAAAAATATTTGCCACCAATAAAAGAATTAACTTTTTTTTTGCCCATCTTCATAAAATTCATGGGTCAACCCTTGATCACAATATATTTCACTTATTTGTGTGTTCTCATATTCTACTTTCTTTTCTTTCTATTAAGAAGTTGTACTTCCATTTTCTTAGTTAGGTATTGCACTTTGAAAAAATGGATCTAATTATAGCATTCTACTTTTAGTGTTTTTTATTAGGACATTAGGGACTTTTTTTTTTTAATATTTAGATGACTCTACTATATAACTTGATAAATTTTTTGAAGTACAATGTTATAATAAGAAAAAAAGCATGCGATTTTATAATAAACAAATCAATAAAATTACGTTTTTACTTCTTGCATTTTACTAACACACACTTATGGGTGACTGTAAATATATTATAAAAAAAAATCCTACAGCATTGAGAGGAGCTGCAACATTACGATCTAGGCTGCAAAAGGCTCCTACAACTATGGCATTGGCTGAGGAACACGTTGAAGAAGGCAAAGAGTTAAATGTCTTGGCAGCCTTAAACTTTGTTTTTAAAGGGGGCGAACTTTTGAAGCTTACAAGAAAAGGTAATTTCACAAAAAGTATGCAAAATGTGAGTTTCGAGGAAGGGTTTTGAACTATTATGTGATTATCGATACAGGGGACCTTCATTGGAAGCAAGTTTCTTTCAAGGTCAATACAAAATGGCAGGTAATACTCAATAAATGCTATCTATATATGTATAATCCTCTCAAGATGCTACATAAATACCAAATTATAACATCTATTTTACCAACAGGTGGTAGCAAAAATGAAAAGCAAGCACATGGCAGGAACTTTTACAAAGAAAAAGAAGTGTAAGAAGTATATATGATATCATACTTATAAGATTTATAATATTGATTTGTGTTAATATGAAAGTGGAATTGCTACTCCTGCAGTTGTAGTCTCTGGAGTCTATGTTGATGTCCCAGCATGGCCTGGAAGAGAGATGGATGATAGTAATGAAGAGAGGCAATATTTCGGGATAGAAACCTCTGAAAGAGTAATAGAGTTTGAATGCAACACCAAAGACGAAAAACAAAAGTGGATAGAGGGCTTGCAACATTTATTGAATTGTCGAGCTAATATGCCAAGGTTTACGTAAAATATATCTTCATTTGATCCATGGACTTTAAAAACCTTATGTTATTGGCGTGTAATCAAGAATTAAAAAAAGCATTGGGTTTGTTGGAATTGTAAAATGAGTGGATTTTATTTATGTTAGTGATTGTGTTTACAAAATAGTGTGAAATGATGTATTCACGTAATGAATTTATATTCGAATAACATTTGTACAGCTCTTTCAATATATCCTACAAAATAAGTACACAACAAAATATACTTATTTGATGAGAGTATACTTGTAATGAGGATTATAGAAGACGTGCTTCTTTCAATGGTTGTGGCAATTTGTTGGTATTGATACAACTTCACAGCCACGTTTTAATTATTGTTTTCAAGTTATTTTTGTATCACTTTGTTAGTTTGAATCGGTAAAAGTCATGTTGGATGTAGTGGTTTAAGTGGGTAGAAGTGAAGGTAGAATACATTCCCATACGTATCTCATCCCATTAAAACACCATAAATATGTTTACTTGTGGGCCTTTATAGAATAATAAAATAATGGGCTATACAAAGATACAATTATAACTAAAGATACACTAACAACCCCTGCAGTTGGAGCAGGAGGTTCACGGATGTTCAAACTGGATCTAAAGTCTAGAAATAAAGACGATGGCAAGCCCTGCGTGAAAATATCAGCAAATTGGTTAAAGGAGGGCACATGCATGACTTGAATCTGACCCACGACGACTTTGTCACGAACAAAGTGAATATCCATCTTAATGTGTATGGTCCTTTGATACTGAACGGGATTTGTAGATAAGTATACCGCACTTACATTGTCACAATAAACTAGCATGCCACAAGGAGGTGGTTGAAAAAGTTCACGAAGTAAGTTACAGATCCAACAACATTCAACATCTGGTACCCCCGGTACTCTGCCTTGAAACTGAATCGTGAAACCCTCCCTTGTCGTTTGGAGGACCATGATATCAAGTTGTGACCTAGAAACACACAATAACCCGAAGTGGAGCTGCGAGAAGAAGGACAAAATGCCCTATTAGCATCCATGTAGGCAATAAGACCTCGATCAGGAGATGCATATAACTGAAGACCATGATCAATGGAACCACGGATATAACATAAGATGCGTTTGAGAGCATTAATGTGTGGTTCTTGCGGGTCGTGCATGTATAACCATATTTGATGAGCCGCATACGCAAAATGTTTGGGCGAGTAAAAGAGAGTAAAGGTGTGATACTATAGACCGCTAGCAAGACTGTGATATAAGGTTAGATCTCTTACCGGAGGACCAGACGGTCCTAATTTGGAAGAAGTATCTTCTGGGGTGTGAGACGGCTTGCGCTGAAGTTAGAACATTTTACCATACGTATCTCATCTCATTAAAACACTATAAATATGTTTCCATATGAGCCTTTACAGAATAATACAATAATGTTAGTGTATTATTAGTTATTGTGACAACCCGGAACTTCTGTCTTGTATAATTGGTCAATTCTATCAATGTTAAACTCGATTCTGTCACCTTTTAACACCGTTTGAGGGTTTGTTAAAGTATTCTAACCCCTGTACAATCAAAATTTGGGTTATAGGTCGAGTTATTCCAAGTCATAGCACAACATTCGGGCCATACACCCTCTTGGGAGGAGTGTACGGCCGTACAACTGGGTGTATGGCCGCACACCCACCCCACAACCGCACACTCAGGGTGGTGGGTCACCCACCCCTATAAATATGAGGATACCTCCTCTCTTTCACCCTTTTCTTCTGTTGGCTGCACTCTACCACTTTCTCTCTCTATAATCTTCATCAAAGCACCCTCCAAAGGCTTCAAAAACGTAAGTGACTCATCCCCTAACTAGTTACATCTCATGATTCTTCATATTTCGGCCTTGTTCTTCATCCTTTGAAGGTGTACGGCCGCACACCTTCATAAGGTCGGCCATACACACCTTAAAGGCTCTCCAAAGTGAGAGTTTGGTCCCCTATCTTCTAGTTGGACTTAGTATTAGCCTTAATGCACCTCTAAATCGACATCTTGGACATGAACATGGAGAGTGTACGGCCGCACACCCTTTTGTATGGCCGCACACCGCTTTGTACGGCCACACACACACCCTTAGGGCCGTACACCCACTTTGATGTTCATATTTGGCTTTACACTTGCAAAACCACTAAGTATGGGACCTATAACATCATGAGTGTACGTACACTCATGGGCCGTACACCCATGGCTGTACACACCCTTAGGGTGGTGGTAGACCTCCCTCATTCGATCATATATGGTTCCGACACTTAGTTCAAGCATTTCAAGGTCCTTAGAGCGGTTTCCTATAATGTTTAGTCATGAAATACCCTAATCTAATGCATATATATATATATATATATATATATATATATATATATATATATATATATATATATATATATATATATATATATATATATATATATATATATATATATATATATATATATATATATATATATATATGTTAATAGGATCCATTTGAGTTCGAAATTTAAGTTAACACTCGGCATCCATACCAATCGTACATTCAAATCCTACATCAACAGTGAGTTCATACCCTTACACTTTTAATGTTTTGAAATGTTTTCAGGTGGGCGGGGATACAAGCCAAACACAAGGATTTTGTGAACTAAAACAGAAATTTTTTTCATCAATTAAAACTTATGCAATTGACACAGTTTAATAGATTTTCGTAAATCATTTGGATACGTTATCCCTCTTGTAACATGCGGAGCATGAGGGTCACATTCTAATCAAACTTGCATAGTTTTCATAACATACCACAAACATAACTTTTCAGTCAAACTATAATAGGTATAGTTTGGGAACTTCTTTACCGGTTTTACGATTGTGAACTACTCACATGGTTGATCAGATAAACTATGATAGATTTAGTTTATGACACATTACAAGAGTACCACGGTTAATAATTCTTTAAGTATAATTATTTGTACTCTACAAAAAAATACCTCGAATTCAAGCACAAAATAACATTACCTTTTTCATTTTATTACTCGTAAAGTCGTTAACATATACGGGAGACACGTCCTTAGGCGCTTACAACGTTAACTAAGTGGAGGACTACCCTTATGAACCAGAAATTCCTGGAGGGAAAGTGTGGCTTTTATGTATAGATCTATACGGGACTGACTATTCTGCACCTGGCTGCTAGCTACAATCGGACCGACAGGTCTACGGGTGACAAATGTCATAAAGGATATCGGCATCTGTTTCATGTCGTATCAAGTTTAAGTATGGTCATAAAACTCGCCAATACTTTGTCAGGTTTACGGAATAATACATCTCTTACGAACCATTGCTTTAATCACATAAATATGGATTATATTTATACCTTACCATTTCAGAAACATTAAAGCAACAACAAACACAAGGGAAAATAAGGGATTTTCCCAGTAGAAACATACTTTACATACTGGTGGTAGCCAAAGTTTTCAAACGAAACATACTTTACATACTAGTGTTAGCAAGGGTTTTCAAACGGAACATCCTTTACATACTGGTGGTAGCCTGGGTTTTCAAACGAAACATACTTTACATACTGGTCATAACCAGGGTATTGATATGAATCACACTTTACATATAATGAAATTTATCATTTATACAAATTCAGTGACTAGTTTTCATTACAAAAACATGCTTATGAACTCACCAAATTTATGCATCAACGCTTTCAAAACCGCTTGTATTCTCAGGAAAACAGTAGATAGGTACTTTTACCAGCTTCTGGAGAAGACGAAGCATTTTGGAGTCTCGTCTTTTACTCTTGTCATATAGTAATGTATATAAATTATTTTTTTCAAACAAATGTAAATATTCATATGCAATGTAATGGTTGTGTTTACTTTGATTACTATGATGCAATTGTTGTTATAGTACACATGATGTCATCCACCTCCGGATGTTTTCGCCATTGTTTTTATGGTTCGGGGGTGTGACAAATTGGTATCAGAGCTATTGTTTATAGCGAACTTAGTATACCGAACCTTACAAGGTATACAACTATAAACACTAAGGGGTTAAAGTGCTATGAACTAAAAGTATACTTTTAAAATATAAGTATTTTACAAGAAGTATACAAGTATACCTACATACCAGAAACAATATCACAAGTAGAACAAAACAAAAGTATATAGATGTTGGACACTGTAGTTAAACATGGACAGTTATGTAATCATGTCTAGGGTCAATATAGCCCGATCAACTATATTCATTCGAGCATGACCAACATGTGCTTGGGAGTGACTGTGGTGTTGCAGCAGGCCTAAAACTTACCAAGTATACATACAACAAGGTATCAATAGAACAAAATATACAACTTAAAATACTATAGGAGTATTTTATCCAGATCCAAATACCATGTAGAGATTCATTTCAAGTGTTGCTACTTATTTCTTCCTAGCGATAATTTCCTTGTATTAGTAACTTTCCTTGTTTATCGCTTAGTAGAACACTTTACCTATCAGATGGAGATACATCTTGTTTCATATCTCTTAATTCAAAAGCCTAAGGGACTTACCATCTTTTTCTTCCTGGATCTTTATGGAACAAGATGTCTCCAAAGAAAAGACCTAATAGAAAGAACAACAATCCTCCAACAAATCCAGCTCCGCTACCTCCTCAGTTCGATCCTATTATGTTTCAGGTAGTTGTTACTGATGTTGTAGCTGCCGCAATGTTGCAAATAAATTCTGGCGGATCTAGCGGGTCGGGAAAAGGTGCCTAACCCCTCAATCTCAACAGAATGGAGGAACACCAGAAGGAGTGTTCCTACAAGGAATTTATGAATGCAAAGCCCAGATCCTATGATGGCAATAGAGGTATCATTGACATAACTCGTTGGATCGAGAAGTCAGAATCGGTCTTCGAGATCTGTGCATGTTCTGAAGCCAACAAGGTGAAGTTTGTTGCTTGCACCTTCACAGTCAGAGCACTAACTTGGTGGAATAGTCGAGTCAAATCCATAACCCTGCCAGTGGCAAATGCAATGGGTTGGGAAAGTTTGGAGGAACTTATGCTCTCGGGGTATTGTCCATGGGGCAAAATGCAGAAACTGGAGCACGAGCTTTGGAACCTTAAGATGAAGGGTTTCGATATTGCCTCCTACACAACTAGATTCTGTGATTTGGCTCTTCTTTGTTCGGGAATGGTCACCCCGGAGAGCAAAAAGATTGAAAGATACATTTGGGGATTGACGC